ATGATGGGATTTGTGCTAAGTTGGAACCCACCTAAAAAAGCACCAATGTCACTTACATGTAGCACATACACAGCAGTGATGAAGTGAAACAGTGAAAAAATAATTTTAAAGAAAGATAACATTCCTGACCTTTATTTGTGGTAAATAAATAATAAAAAACATAAAGCACATATGCACATGTAGAAATGATGGAACTTTTTAAAATATAAATACTATAAATGGGAGATGGCGAAGTAACCATGAAATGATGTACATTGAGTTCAACATAACCCGAGGACTGCCTGTATATGCTATCTACAGGAGACCCAACTCAGAACAAGGGACTCACACAGACTGAAAGTGAAGGGATGGAAAAATATCTAGCAGGGAAATGGAAATGAAAATATGCTGGGGTAGCAATACTTTTATCTGACAAAAAGAGACCTTAAAGTGAATGCCATAACAAGAGACAAGAAAGGCCACTTCATAATTCTAAACAGATCGATACAACAAGAGGTTATAACTCTGGTAAACACATATGCACCCAATGCAGGAACACCCTAATACATAAAAAAAAACTTCTGGGAGATATAGGGAAGAGATTGACAGCAATGCAATCATAGTAGGATACTTCAATACTCCATTAACATCACTGGATAAATCTTCTAGACAAAAAATTAGCAAAGAAGCAGCAATCCTAAGCGACTCACTAGATCAGATGGACTTAATCAACATCTTTAGAACATTCCACCCCAAAACTACAGAATATACATTCTTGTCAAGTGAACATAAGACATTTTCAGAGATAGACCACATATTTGGACACATGCAAAGTCTCTCCAAATTCAAAAAGATTGAAATCCTATCAAGCATCTTCTCAGATCACAAGGGCATAAAAATTAGAAATCAACTACAGTAAAAACAATCACAAAAATTCAAACACTTGGAGGCTGAATAGCATACTATTAAAAAGTGAGTGGGTTACCAAAGAGATCAAAGAAGAAATAAAAAACATCCTGGAAGCAAATGACAATCAAGAGGAAGGAACACTTCCAAGCTCTTTCTATGAAGCCAGCATTACCTTAGTCCCAAAACCAGATAAATACAAAGAAAGAGAATTACAGGACAATATCCCTCATGAACATAGATTCTAAAATTCTCAACAAAATTCTAGCAAATTGAATCCAACAATACATGAGAAAGATCATACACCATGACCAAGTGGGATTTATTCCGGGGATGCAAGGATAGTACAATATCCACAAATCAATAAACATGATACGCCACATAAACAAACTGAGAGATAAAAACCATATAATTATATGCATTGATGCAGAAAAAGCATTTGACAAAATCCAACACCCTTTCTTAATAAAAACTCTAAGCAAGGTGGGAATAGAAGGATCTCAGACCTCAACATAATAAAAGCCATACATGACAAACCCACAGCCAACATCATACTCAATGAGCAAAAACTAAAACCATTTCCCCTAAGAAGAGGAACAAGACAGGGATGCCCACTTTCACCACTTCTGTTTGACATAGTATTGGAAGTACTAGCCATTGTAATCAGAAAAGAAGAAGAAATAAAAGGCATCCAAATTGAAAAAGAAGTAAAACTGTCCTTATTTGCAGATGACATGATACATAGAAAACCCTAAAGACTCCATCAAAAACTACTAGACTTAATAAATGAATTCGACAATGTAGCAGGATACAAAATTAACACCCAGAAAGCTGTGGCTTTTCTATACACCAATAATGAACTCACAAAAAGAGAAACTAAAAAGCAATCCCATTTACCATTGCAACAAAAAAATTAAGATACCTAGGAATAAATTTAGCCAAGGAGATAAAGGACCTGTACTCAGAAAATTTCAGGACGCTGAAAAAAGATAGAGGAAGAAGACATGAACAAATGGAAGAATATACCATGTTCATGGGTTGGTAGAATCAACATCATTAAAAATGACCATACTACCCAAAGCAATCTATAAATTCAATGCAATCCCCATTAAAAATGCCAATGGCATTCTTCAAAGACCTAGAACAAACTCTCCAAAAATTCATCTGGGATGAAAAAAGACCCAGAATAGCTGCAGCAATCTTGAGAAAGAAGAACAATGTTGGAGGGATCACAATACCAGATATTAAGCTATATTACAAAGCCTCTGTTCTCAAAACTACCTGGTACTGGCACAAGAGCAGACATATAGATCAGTGGAACAGAACAGAGTACCCAGAAATTGACACAAGCCATTATGCTCAATTAATATTTGACAACGGAGGCAAGTGGATGCAATGGAAAGGAGAAAATAAACAAATGGGACTTCATTAAAATAAAAAGCTTCTGCACAGTGAAAGAAACCATCAATAAAACAACAAGAAATCTCACTGCTTGGGAGAACATATTTGCCAATGTTATCTCCAATAAGGTTTTAATCTCTAACATTTACAGGGAACTCATACTACTTAACAAAAGGAAGATAAACCATCCAATCAAAAAAATGGGCAAAGGACCTAAATAGACACTTTTCCAAAGAGGACACACAGAAAGCCAAAAGACATATGAAAACATGCTCAAAGTCATTAATCATCTGAGAGATGCAAATTAAAACAACAATGAGGTACCATCTCACACCTGCCAGAATGGCTATCATCAACAAATCAGCAAAGGACAAGTGCTGGAGAGGAGGCGGAGAAAAAGGAACCCACTTGCGCTGCTGGTGGGAATGCAGACTAATGCAGCCACTGTGGAAAACAATATGGTGTTTCCTCAGAAAGTTAAAAGTGGAACTGACATTTGACCCAGTAATACCACTTCTAGGAATATATCCCAAGAAAACAGAAACAGAAACACCAGTCAGAAAGGATGTATGCATCCCTATGTTCATAGCCGCACAATTTATAATAGCTAAGATTTGGAAACAGTCTAAATGTCCATCAGCAGATGAGTGGATTAGAAAACTGTGGTACATCTACACAATGGAATACTATGCTGCTGTAAAAAAAGAAGGAATTCTCACCATTTGCAATAGCATGGATGGAACTGGAGAGCATTATGCTAAATGAAATAAGCCAGCTAGTGAAAGAAAAATACATGACCCCACTCATTTGTAGAATATAAAGAACATTATAAACTGATGAACAAAAATAGATACAGAGGCAAAGAAGCATTGAACAGGCTGTCAAACTACAGCAGGAAGTCAGGGGAGGACGGGGGGGGGGGGGAGGTAAGAGACCAACCAAAGGTCTTGTATGCATGCATATAAGCATAACAAATGGATGCAAGACACTGGGGAGGAGGGAGTGAGTGCATATGTTGGAGGGTAGGGGAGGCTGGGGAGAGGTCAATGGGGGAATAAAAGAAGACATAAGTACTACTATTTGTAATACTTTAAACACTAAAAAATACTTTGAAATTTGCTGAATTAAATAGTAAAATTTATTAAATATCTAGGTATTTTGAAATATCAGGATACTGAAATATTAATCTGAGTTTTGCCTCAGATGGAAAATCCAGAGGGTGGGTTTGAATCTCTTCATGAATAAGTCATGTGTTTTATTTGAAATATATCTTAAAATGTGAATGTATTGCTAATCTGAGGAATGTTAGTTACTTACCACTTAAAAATTAAGGTTTCTAAGGGTCAAGAATTCTAACTAATTAGAAAGAAAGTATGGCTTAGGTGTAATAAAGCATGAGGCACAGAGATGCATTTTGAAGGAAAAAGAAAGTGGATTCTAGAGCAGGTTATTTCTAAAAGTTGCAAGGTTTCTGAAGAAAGATTTGTGAAAGTTGTAGAATTTTGGAAGAGAAATGTTGAAAAGTTATGTAAATGACACAGGCCAGTAAGCCAGGACAAGTAGAATAAGGAAACTGAGTTGGTTAGACAGAAATTTGGAGCCATCTAGTAAATCCTATATTCCCCAAACCAAGGGCACTTAAAATCAATGATTTGCATTTTGCCTACCTAACCAGAGGGTATAACCAGATGGTAAATAGCTTATATCAATATGCTCAGGGAGATTGATAGCAGAAATCCAATTAGTGTCGTTTGCTGACCACACCCAAGGACAAATGAAGTTAGAGAATAAACTAGTCTGTTAATAGGGGAAAGATCTTTCCTGTCTTTCTACCCAGGAAGCAAAAGTCCTATAAATTATTAAAATGGTTCTATTTCATATTAATCAAGTATTTTTTTTTACAAAAAAAAGCCATTTTTTAATAGTGGAAACTGAAGTTTGCTACCCTATGTTAGTGTCTAATACACTTTGATATATGATTTTTTGGCAAAATAATTTTTTTTTTTTATATAGAGAGGAAGGGAAAGGGAGAGGGATAGAGTGTTTGAAACATGGATGAGAGGAACATCGATCCACTGCCTCCTGCACATCCCTACTGGGGATATGCCCGCAACCAAGGTACATGCCTTTGACCAGAATTGAACCTGGGACCCTTCAGTCCACAGGCTGATGCTCTCTCCACTAAGCCAAACCAGTTAGGGTGGTAAAATAAATTTGACAATCTTTCCAGAGTTTGAATTTTAAGAAACTTTTTTTTGACTTAGAATTGGCTTTAGGTCATCCCAATAGGCCCTGGAATGCTTGTTTTCTCTTTCATGAAGGAAAATTTTCTGCTTAAGATACATGGGAAGCTTTGCCAAATAATAATAACCATATTATGCTTTCATTTATAGCTCTAATTGTTATTCTGGAACATCGTGTTTTGCAAAAAGGACAAGATTCCATGTCATTTGCAAGTATTGCTGATTCTTAAATTTTTATTTTTAAGATATAAGGAAGCATTTTTAACACAAATTTGGTAAGTTACATATTCTCCCCCCCTTTCCCTCTAGTATTTTGGCAATTTTTAATAAGTGGCAATACATTTCTTTGCATGAATTCAATTAGACTTGTTTCCAACTATAGCTATATTAACCAAAATAAAAACTGAAATTGGTCCATGGTTTCACTGCCTTTTGAAGAACTTGGTCAATCTAGCATTCCACAAGAATCCCTTACAATCCACAAGGGCAGCCATTGTTGAACATGCTCATGTTACCCTGAATGGTACGCTAGTAACAGAAAAAAGGGGGAATATGGGACACAATGATCCTGCTATACTACTTTATAAAGCAATCTTTACCCTTAATTTTTAAAATTTGAATGATCATTTTCAATCCTCAATACCCCACCTCAGAAACCATGTCTTGTGGCAAGATGTGGACACTAATAACTGGATGGGACCCAATGAATTAGTAACGTGGGGGAGAGGATATACATGTATTTCAACCCCCACAGGGCCATTGTAGATTCCAGCTAGCCAGATTAAACCATGCCATGGCATGGCACAGGACCAATCCTCTACCAGAAATGAAGAATCTGAGCTTGGGGACTCCACAGCACTGAACCAGGAGCCTTTTCCGGACCCCGACGGCCCCCTGAATAACATGGGGAATGGTGAAGCTGACGGCAGAGGCTGAGCAATTATTGGAGCATACTCACACTCCACACATTCCAGATAACTAACCATTGCTCTTTTTGTTTTTCTTATAGGCTGTAAAATCAGAAATCCAGCAGTAAATGCACCTTCCAGACCCAGACCCTGACATTCCAAAGCAGAAAGTTCACCACCTCCCTCTGTCTTCTACATTCAGCAAAATATAAAAGAGGACGATGTTGGGGAGCACATGAAACTTGGTTGGAAAGTTGTAAGGAGGACATTCTGAGGAAAGGGAAGAATATGGAAGGCCGCCTGTTCTGTTTATCAGAATTCTGACTTAGCTGGGGAGAGTTGGGGAGTGTCGAAGGCAGTGCCCCTGATTATTCCTTGACCTTTCCAAACAAGTCTGTGCATTTGCAGACCCCTGGGTGTTTACTGGAATCCTTATGCTTAATCCCTGGATGCCCTTGCCTAGAGGACAATGAAAACACAAGTGTCCTCCCAAGATTACTCACCCTACTGATTGTATCTAAGGATAAAAACTTCAATAAAAGGCTAATGAGGCAGGCAATCGAGGCTGCCTGGCTTCTTCAGCCGTCCCTTAGCCCTCTCCCCCACAGTGAAACTGTGTTGGAGTAATCGGTTCATCCATTGTTCAGGGGCTGCTGGTTAACTCCAGCATAATCCCTTCAGCATTTTCACCCTGCCCCCATCATTCCTTCACCGGGCTATCAGAACCTGGGTTACTCCCAAACAAAGTAATGCATTCTGAGACAAAGCTCATATGTATGACTAAAATGTATGGTGTTTTCAAAATAAAATTCTTACCTGTTTTTTCTCCTCAGTGTAGGTTGAAGTGATTTCTGTTACTTCCCCACTGGATGGTTGGGCTTTTATTCACCTGTTCGATGTCATGTGACTTTCTGGAATTCCTAAAGACTCATAAATTAGAAGTGAAGGACTTAGAGTAATGTGAAACTTAGAGCACCGAGTACAAATCAGTGACTCAACAACCATAAAAGAAATTTCTGAAAGCTGTAAAATCGGGAGGGTGCCTGGATTTCACAACTGGTCAGTTTGATAAAAGCTCTGCTCCTGGTGGGTGTGGTCAATAAGATGTGGCTCCCCCTTCCTTCTTTCAAGCAGGATAAGGTATGTCACTGGGAGAGGCAGCCCACCAGTACTTCTTATTGCCTTCAACACTGAGTTGCAGACACTGGAGGCTGGGGCTAACAACATGCACCCAGCCCCACTCATAGTGTGAAGGCTTTAGCTGATGCATAGGTGGGAGAAAGATGAGGCCTGAGATTGCCTGGCCTGCTCACCCTCCCTCTGGATGACTTGTAGGAAGGAGTTTCCAAGCTGGGAGAGGCAAGTAGAGAAGACCAGATGCTACCACGCCTGCCCAGGGAGGAGCAGTGGCTCAGTGATATTTGTCCAGGAAGAGAGGCAGTCCATAATCACAGAGATCTCTGAAGTTTCTCCCCAAAGAACTGATTTTAAACAGAGTGAGGGGACTTGAAGAAACTTTATAGCAACTTGACTTTAGAAAAAACGCAAAAGGAGGTTTTCAGCAGGAAGTAGGATCACCCCAGATGTTAATACAAATCCATATAGAAAAACAAAGAGCAGCAGTAAGAGAATTGTGTAATTATACAAGACAGTATAAATACAGACTTCCTCTCCTTTCTCCTCTTAACTGGTTTAAGGAGCAATTTATATATATATATTTAATTTGTTCATTAGATTCCACATATAAGTAAAATCATATGCTATTTGTCTTCCTCTGACTGGCTTACTTAACTTCGCATAATACTCTCCAGGACTTCAGAGGGGAAGGGGGATATATATATATTTGTATTGCAGGGCCTATTTCAGGTCAGTGGTTGCACAGCCTGTTGAAATAAAGGTATGACACATGATATTAACGAAGACAAATAGGAATACAGAGATGCAGAAATTGTCAGAAAGTTAGTATAACAAGTCCTATAAATTTATTATTTTTCCTGTATTCTCTTTAAAAGACATAAAATCATATAAATTAATAATTATCAAAATGTATTGTTGGGATTGTTACATATATAGATGTAATTTGTACTATATATTTGAAAATAATAGCAATAGGAGAACCAAGATGGCGGCGTAAGGTACAGACCTGTGCGTGTTGCCTCCCACAACAACACTGAAACTACCAACTATAAGACAAACAGCTATCATTCAGAACCATGGGAAAGCTGGCCCAGTGGAAGTTCTACAACTGGAAGGAAAGAAAGAAGAGTATTGAGACTGAGTAGGATGTGCAGAGGTGCCAAGAACAGAGGTACGGAGTCATGCGCCAGGCGGGCTGCAACTGGATGTGCAGTCTTTTTCAATCGGAAGGGGTTACAAACTCTAGAATCCACTGAGCTTGTTTGGGGCGGGATTCTGACGTCCCAGACCCCTACGGGGAGAGGCAGGACAACCTTGCAGTGGGTCGGAAAGTGAGTATGGCTCTCTCGCGGAGCTGCTAGCCGGCACTCAGGGACGCGGAGTCGCGGAGAGGCGGGGAGTTGCGGAGACGCCATTGCTGTTTGCTCCGCCCTGGTGATCCCCTGAGACCCTGCCTTACTCAATTTACATCCACACCCAAGCTGTGCCAGAGGCACAAAAGGAACCACCTGTGCTTTTGCAGCTTAACCCAACAAACTGCAGATTTCAACTCCTCCCATCCACAAGGGACACACTCAAGAAGCAGAATCAGGTTTGGAGGAAGCTGGAGCCGGACTCGGCTGGGCCTGTGACATGGAACCGCTACACCAGCAAAAGTACAAGCAGGTCCACCAGATCCAGTCTCACATGGACGCTGGGAGACGGTAGACAAGCAGTCTGTGCACTTAGTAGAAAATGAAATCCAAGCAAGCATACCATATATTCAGCCAGCAAGAACACCTGGAGATTTTGTCCAGCAAGGAGCCGCCCAACAAAAGACAGAATGCCAAACTTTGTGTTGACCAGTTAAAGTATGATATCCAGCACCTGCAGACTACTCTCAGAAACTTCCAGCACCAGAGATACACAAGGGAGCAGCAGGAGAGACAGTGAGAGGAGTTTCTGTCTCGCACCTTCACCCCCGACATGGGATGTGGCGTCCCCTGCGAGGCTGTGACGTCCCCCACGAGGCTGAGATGGCCCCTGCGAGGCTGCGACGGCCCCAGTGAGGCCGCGACAGCCCTTGGGAAGCCGGCGGAACTGTGCAAGCCGCCCAGACGGCTTCGTCGACTGCCCCCGAACCAGCGCGCAGCCCCACGCACAACTATCAACTGAAGGGCAAGAGGGGCGAGAGCAGCTGTAGTGTTGCTTTCTCCTCACTTTTGGTAGCGAAACCCTCATTTTAAACATAAGAGGACACATTATTTTAGAAAGCCATTACGTGTCTCCATACCCTTTCTGAGCAGAGAGTAAATAAGTTGTGAGAGAACTTTCTGAATACAGGGACACGTTGCAGATGGAAATAGCTACATTTTCCATGTGTATGACCTTTGACCTGGCAACAAAAAGCGTAGGGGTAAGGGCAGAGTGTGGGGTGGGAACTGGGTGGAGGGGAGCTATGGAGGAAAAAAGGGGAACAACTGTAATAATCTGAACAATAAAGATTTATTTAAAAAACACACACACGCAACTCTAACTTATATACAATAAAATCCACATATTGTAAAAAAAAAAAAGAAAGAAAGAAAATAATAGCAATAAATGGAGGTAAGAGGGAATAGAGTTATAGGAGTAATAGTTCTGTATCTCACTGGAATTAATATAGCATAAATTTGAGGTATATCCCTGTTCTTTTTAATTTTATTGAATTCATTGGAGTGACATTGATTAATAAAGTTATATGTGTTTCAAGTGTACAATTCTATAACACATCATCTCTATTTTGTATGTTTACCACCAAAGTCAAGTCTCCTTCTGTCACCATTGATCCCCCCTTTTTGTCTTCTATCTTCCCACACCCTTTTGCCTCTAGTTATCAACATACTGTTGTCAAAAAAAAAAACACACCAAGATGGCAGCATAGGTTAACGCCGGAGATTGCTGCCTCGAACAAACACTTCAGAAAAACAACTAAAGACGGAACGGACATCATCCAGAACCACAGGAAGGCTGGCTGAGTGGAAATTCTACAACTAGGAGGAAAGAGAATATCATACCCAGACTCAGAGGAGGCGCACTGCTGAAGTGAAATACTCAGGTGCAGAGTGCGTGCGAAGCGGGGTGGCGGCGGAGGGCGCGGTTGTTGTTTTCAATCGGGAGGGAGTTTCAGATTCTGAGCTCCAGATCCGGGTGAGCCTCTAGGGACCCAGACTCAAACAGGAGAAGCGGGACTGTCTGGCTTCGGTCGGAACTCGAAGGCAGCTTTCTCTCCGAGGTTTGCAGCGGTTGCTGGGACTCTGTGAGGCAGAGCCCCTAGGGATGGAACTGAGAGCAGCCATAACTGCTCCCTCCTGCCCGCCCTGTAGATCCCCGGGGACCCGCCCCGCCCAAGCCCTGCGCAGAGCCATTTGCCGGATACCCTCAGGCAAATGCTAGATTAGCACCGCCCTAGAGATCCAGCACAGAAGCTCTCCCACTGCAGACACAGTGGACTCTCATAGCCAGTTAGCCTGGAGGTCAAATCACCCCCGGTATTGCTGACATCGATCAAGGCTTAACTACAACAAGACTGCACACAAATACCACTAGGGGGTGTACCAAGAAAGCATAAAAAATGTGGAGACAAAGAAACAGGACAAAACTGTCAATGGAGGATATTGAGTTCAGAACCACACTTTTAAGGTCTCTTAAGAAGTGTCTAGAAGCCGCCGATAAATGTAGTGAGATCCTCAAGAAAACTAATGAGACCCTTGATGTTATGCTAAAGAACCAACTAGAAATTAAGCATACACGGACTGAAATAACGAATACAATACAGACTCCCAACAGCAGACCAGAGGAGCGCAAGAATCAAGGCAAAGATTTGAAATGCGAAGAAGCAAAAAACACCCAACCAGAAAAGCAAAATGAAAAAAGAATCCGAAAATACGAAGATAGTGTAAGGAGCCTCTGGACAGCTTCAAGTGTACCAACATCAGAATTAT